GACTTTGTGTTGGACCTCGATGGTGTGGAGATGTGGGAGAGATCGTAGGAGCTCAGAGGGAGGAGGGCAGCTGCCCTCTGCCACACAGCCTCGAAGGGTTAACAGGTCCCGGGGAGCCCGGAGGGACCGTTCACACCCTCTGCCCAATCCTGGGAATCCCTCTCTGCTAATTGAGCACTAACCAGATCAAAGACTCCAATCAGGCAATCAACACCCCCCCGCCCCTGTCTTCAGGTCCCCAGCCCAGGCTGCTCTTTGTCTGCGGGAAGGAGAGCAGACAATGTTCTCCCCACACACGCCAGCTTTAGAGCCGGCCTTGCCTGGGCTCTCCTTAGCGTGGTTCTGGGGACGGAGTTAAGTTTGCAGGAAAGTTTACTGTTAAAATCCTTGGGTTTGAGCGCCAAGCCCAGCCCGAAAACCCCCATTCCTGTGCCGTCTGTGCTCTGGAGGATCTTCCAGAAGAGAAAGATGCTGCCTTCTGCAAACAAAGACCTGGTGGATGCTTGTAGGGTGGAGGAATTTAACGTCCCTGGGAACATCATCCGTGTCTTCGCTGACCAAGGTACAGAAACGCCGTGGTTTGGGTCCTGTCTTTTGGAAGCCCCTCTGATCTCTGGGCTGGGAGCCTTTGCTCCAGTCCTTCCTTTTCTGTCTCTTGGGTGTAGGTAGGAGAGGCTGGGGGAGGACAGGGCAGTGGCCAGAATCAGTCTCCAAGAGAAATCACAGCTGTGTAAACTCTGGTCCCTCTGGATGTTGTAGATAATTATTTACAGTTTAGAAATGAGTCAGTAGACGAGGCAGCGGGTGAGGGTGTAGAGGTGTGTAAGGATCTGGCCTGATGTCACCTAAAGTGGTCCAGAGGTGCTGGTTCGATCGTAGGTGACTTGGCTTGACCCGCTGGGCTCGCGGTGGTGGAGGTGACCCCTCGCCTGGGCAGTGGTAACGTGGCTGTGGGTGCCGTGGGTGAGACCAGCACCCAGCTTCGGGCGGGGACGGGATGCTCGGCCATTTGGCTGCGTCCTCCCCTCCTCCTTTCTGTCCTCATGCCTCTGGCTGACCGCGCGGCACATCTGGCCGCTTGCAGCCTCTCTGAGCCGTTCTCAGTTACACGGGAACTGTTTGGTCGGTGTCCTCTAGCTCTCAAGAAACCACGGAGCTCACTTCGCTTGTGGTTCCAGGTTTCCAGTGGAAACCTAGGGCTGGCTAAAACAGGCAGCTTGCCAGCTCCTAAAGCGTGCTGCTATTTGCCCTCCTTTCCCCTCCATCCCAAATGGCCAGCACCCAGAACAACCCCAGTCTGGGGGGAGATATTTACAGCTGGGGAAAAATAATGCACCAAGATGTTAAGCAGCATCTAGAGGAGATGCTGGAACGGCTGTAGCATCCCAGTGCCGCAGGCTGGAGCTCAGGCTAGCATTTGCACCTCTCTGAAGGCCGTGTCACCGGGCTGATAGCCCTTGCTGCAGCCTTGTCATCTCGATCTGACAATTGTGGGCGTGCTTGGCTGCCCGCCTCTGTCAGCCCCATCTTCCTCTTGCTGTGCAGCCGAAAGCTTAAATTGGAGCACTGGGAGGTTGATCCTGCTCGGTGTAACAAGGGTTCAACCACCACCACCTCTATTTCTCCTTCTTTGTCAGGCCACTTCATTCATAATGGGCAGCCCCAGAGGTTGCTGTGTCTGCAGAAGCGTCTGTACTTTAACCTCTCCGTGCTGGAGGAGGGCGAGCGCTTGACGATGGCTCAGCTAGAGATCAAATTCAGCCACAACTCCTACCACACCTCCAGCCAGGGGCAGGTTTTTGAGCTGAGGCTCTACCAAACCTCCCAGATGTCTCTACGGGGGATGCCCTCCCACGAGCTCGGCCGCAAGCTGCTGGTGGAGCAGTCCTTCGCCCAGCTGCACAAGTCTCTCCTCTTCAACCTGAGCG